AAAATACTTAAGTATTTATTTCTAAAATTAGCTTAGGTGGAGCTCTGATTATTTATTTATATTTACATTGATTTGCCTGCTTTATTTCTGAACTTTCCACTTAAACGCTTTGACTTATTTAGCATAATGAGCGTATTGAGCGCATTGACGACAAAATCAAAAAATTCGTGCACAAAAAAAATATTTAAAATTAAATTCATAAACGTAAAGCGCACTCCCACCCATTGGCATTGCATTTATCTCAGATTATGTACTGATAATGTCTTGCCACCGTTATTTCCATTGAGACTACAACGTCAGGTTTTAAATTAAGAATAACAGGCAGGCTTTCAAATTTGCCGCGATTATGTGTTATCAAGTTCACTGTTAGCCCCAAATTGTTTTTTAATTTAATTTTTGTTTTTTTTTTTGGCTAAAACTCTGGAAATATGCTTGAGATTATTTTTTCTTATGACCATTGCGTATAGTTTTTTTTTTTTTTGATTAAATAAGGAAAAACCGACCATATGCGTTGTATGGTTAGCAATGCGATAACTACGGTTAAATCAAAAGATAATTTGAAATTAATTTTTATAACTGCGGTCAGCCCTAGTGAGGCTATATCAAAACCTCCGAGTGTATTTGTGAACTTGAAATAAAAACTCCTTATCCAAATCCATCGGTCGTTCGGAAGCGGCTTAGTATAAACTGTAGCTTCCTCCATTTGTTGGAAGCATAGACAATTATATGTGTATGTAAAGGGTGTTTTTTCAGACATATGGTTTTCAAGAAGAAATGCCTATAACTTAGTGTGTGAATTTAGATTCTACATTCTAAAAGAGACTTCGGGTAAGTAACTGCCGCGACTGGGTCGAATAACTTCCAGGCAAGAGGGTCAGTTTCTGAAACGCCGTAAATCAGCCGAAACACGCAAAAGCCGTCTGCTGCGTCAATCCGTCTCCGGCTTATCTGTCTAGATAAACCTCATCACATAATCTCGTAAAAAATATTTAGGCAGTGCTAAATCGCAGGATTTTGGACGCCACGCTCCCCATGATACAGCATGAAACTTAGGATCAAAAGCTTCTTTCATAAATTAGATTCCTTCGATAACCGTATGGCTTGTAGCGCGTAAAAGTCAATAATAATGACTTTAAAGCATTCCGCATTGACCGTAACATTAGGGGCGGCTTAATTTTTGAAAAAATATGGATCAATGAGCCCCCCTATCTATGAAGCGCACCAAGGAGAGACTTTTTGAGGATGTAAAGGCAGCCGTAGCATAGCATTGCTTAATGCCATTCGGAAAGCCTGGATCCAAATCTTGGTGCAACCAACATCACCAAAAAAAAAATTAATTTATATTAAAAATTAAGTTAAATTTTCTAATTGACGTCGGAATGTCAAGCCCATCGAGTGTATTTTGGAACTTGAAATATAAGCAACTCATCAAAATCCATCATCCGTTCGGAAACGGCTCAGTATAAACTGTAGGTCCCTCCACGCAAAACCACAAAATGGAGCAGGAATTCGGCGGGGAATCGCTCTGGCGGTTACAAAGTGCAGTTTCACGCTCTCTATCAGGTAGATGAAGAAGGTTCTTCGCTATAGACAACGCACGCACTTCTCAAAGTGTTTACTTAGAAACCAGCCGCGTTAATTTGGACAACGATGACTTGTCGCAAATTTAGGAAAACTGGACCGTAATAAAAAGATAATGGGAAATATACTCCTTCAAAAGAGAAGATATGTTCAAGGAAATAAATAGTACAGTAGTTCTGATGGACTACTATCGTAGAGGATGACAGGCAGAATGACTTGAGGGTGTTATGGGAGGTAGAAAGAGGACGATAAGGAAGAGTATAGCATTACTCAGCTTTTATGCGACCACATAGTTTTCGACAGTGCTAGGGAAGATATTGCTGCATGCGCTATGCAATGGAACCGGTTTCAGAGTTACTGATCTATTGAGAATACTCAATTCTCAGGTTGGATAGCAAAGTCTAATGATAACGATTTTTTGACATCACAACGGATGTTATTCAGGCGTAATCCACGTTATTCATTGATAGTCATCACAACTTAACCTAATCAAATGGAAAAAAATACGCACCAATTTTTTTATTGATTAATAAAGTTTTAATTAATTAGAATTTAGATTATTCGCCAATTTGACATAAATAGTAATTTTTGATAAAAAAACATATTCAACTGCTCCACGTGCCACTAAAGAACGTGCAAATGAAAACAGTTCCAATTAAAAAGCGATTTCTTTTGTTTTTCATTTTTATGAACCTATAAAAACCCTACAAAATTCCATTAACAATTTATATCCCTTTGTGCCTAATTGAATACATGCATATATTAACATACATAAATATTTATGGTCTCCCTGCTAATGTTTATTACCAATTCAACTAACGTTTTGATACAGAGAATAAACTTTTATTTCACATGTGTTTAAAATGCAAATTAACAGCTCGTTCACACCTTTTTTTTCTTAAATAATTATACCAACTTGGAGGGAAAAAATACAAAAAAAAATACCACAGAAAAGTACAAAAAAAATATGCAAAAAAGTCGTGCGTGTCTAACACGTTTTACCACTTTTCCGCATATGCTGATAGGTTCATCAATATCTACTATCTATTCATACGTTTATATCTGTACGTATGTATGTACATACAATACTACATATGCATGTTAATTTTTTGAGCGGCGCAGACAGCGTGGTTTATGATTCAATTGGCTAAGGACGCATCAAGTTGAGTATGTAAATTGATGTGTTAACATAGTGTCATGCATGAACTCGCTGGACAGTGTTGCAAGGTGGGTATGCCGAGACGTATGAGTAACTACCATAAACCCGCTCAGTTAACATTGATTTACATAATGAAATTAATATTAAATATATATAAAAAAAAAATATATAACAAACAAACACTTTTCTGTAGACAAAAAAAACTTTATAAATGAGTAATAAATAAAAAAATATTAAAAAGTGCTTGTCACAGCCTCAAGTGCTTGTCACAGTCTAAAATAATTTGCACAAACTGCATTTAAAGTTTACTCTCTTTTTATCAATTCTCATCTACTATTATCTTCAATTGCATTACAATTCCATAAATTGTTATATAAATTGCATGTTTATTGAATTTTTCCGTTTTGTAAACGTCACTGGGGAAAAAAGCGCCGCCTACCAAAGTATGTATGTATGTATATATATCTCCATTCGATTTTCGTGTCATACCGCCACTACATGTGTTGCATTTTAAATGCAATGCATACATTTATATACCTATTTGTAGGTTTGTTAGCTATGTTAGTTATAAAGCTTTTAAATTTATTTCAAGTGCACTTAGATCAAGTGTCGGAACAATTTCCGACTTACCGTGTGGGCGCTATTCGCGTGAAATATTGTATTTACGCTTATAAGCATATACAATGTATATATATATATACATTAATGTTAAACCTTTTCGCAACTATAAGGATTCTTCTCATCAATATTAATTTCGAAATAAATAATAAATAATTTATAACCTCACTTATAACAACTGTCACATTAAAATAAATTGCATTCAAAGTGTAAGTGATACTTAATGTCACATCATTATCAACTTCGAGTGATTCATTTTGTGAAATTGTGAAATGTGAAGATGCTGAGTTAAAAAAAAAATAGTATTAATTAATATTTCACACAATTTACTTAGATACCATATTTTTTTTTTACTTCATATTTTTCACTGTGCTCACCCCTACGGGTTAGGGGTTCAAGAATTTAACCGCGGTAAGGTGTACCTGTCGTAAGAGGCGACTAAAATCCAATCGGGTCTTTATACCGGAACGACACGTATATTTTTGCGATTACAACAACAACATTTGATTTCACATATCTTGCAGTTTATGAATATCTAGTTTGTTTTAATTGAATTATTTTATTTTATTTTAAATTATTTTATTTTTAATTATTTTATTTTATTTTTAATTTAATATTATTGTAATTAATTTTATTTTAACTAAATCTATTTTATTTTAATTGATTTTGTTTTACTTTTTACTTAATCTTATATGACTTTATTTTATTCTGATTTGTTTAATTTAATTTAATTTTGTTTGAAATTTATTTATGTAATTTTATTTTATTTTTTTTTTTTAATTTTTATATTTCGTTTTTATTGTATTTTATCTTATTTTATTTTATTTTATTTTATTTTATTTTATTTTATTTTATTTTATTTATTTTATTTTATTTTCCTTTATTTTATTTTATTTTATTTTTATTTTATATTTTTTTATTTTGTTTTATTTTAATATATTTTAATTTAGTTTTAATTTGTTATTTTATTTTTAATTCTCATGTTTTGATATAATTTATTTTTTTTTTTGCTTTATTCTGTATAATCTTATTTAAATTTTTTTTGTTTAAGAAATTTTATTATATTTAGCTTAATTAATTTATTTACTTTTTTCTCTTATTTCCATATTTTTTTATTTTATTTTATTCTGCATTAATGTATTTTAATTCATTTTCTTTTATTTTATTTCCTTTTTTCTTTTTTTTATGAAAATTTATTTTATTTAATTTTACTTAATTTTATTTTTCTTTTTTCATTTTACTTTATTATATTTTTTTTTACTTTTATACCATTTCTATTGTTTGTATTTTATTTTATATTTTCTCATTTTATTTTATTTTGAATTTTCTTCTTTTGATTTAATTGATTTTTTTATTTGCTTTATTTTGTATAAATTATTTTAATTTATATTATTGATTTTTATGTTGTTTTATTTTATTTATATAACTTTATTTGTTTTTATTTTGTTTCTTTTAATTCTATATAAGTTAATTTAATTTTTTTTAATTACTTATTTTTTTTACATGACTTTAATTTATTTTAGTTTGATTTATATAATTTTTTTACTTTTATTCAGTGGCTTTCTATTTTATTTTTTACTATTTAATTTTGAAAATTTTCATTTTATCATATATATATATTTTTTTTTATTATATTACTCACTTGAATCTTCCACCACAAAGCGTTTGGTGTGTGTAGCCTTCATATACGGATCCATTTGCTCCTTATTTATGGATATACTCGAATCCATGTGGTGAGTCATTGAATCTTCGAAAGCTGGAGAAAACTAAAAACAAATTCGAAAAAGTAGGGTTGACGAAACTTTTGCCCAATCGAACCACTTTTTTATTTATATTTTACTTTGTTCTTCCTCAATCCAAGTTAATGATCTGTAAAAAAAAGAAGGCATAAATATATATTTAGTAACATGTGAGTGCATTATGGCAATTTTTAAACAAAGAAAGACATAAAATAATATCCAAAACTGGAAAACAATTTTCATATAAGCTTTTTATTTGTAATTTGTGTGGCTAAATTGGTAAGCAAACTTGACATTTGTTGGCAAAAAATGTATAGAAATTTCAAAAATTAACGCTCTATTAATAATAAAAACAATTTTTTTTTTTACAAAAAGGTAGCAATAATTATCTTTTTGTGCAGTTACAATATGTCAAATAAGTCGCTGTGGTGAAATTGTTGAAAGTCATTTAAAGCTAATGATGGTAATTTCTATTTAGTTGTTGTTGGCAAAAAAAGTCAAGTAATCAAGTGCTTATATTATATTTTAATGAAATTGTTCTGCTTCCCTGATTGTGTTATTCGTATGTAAAATGTGCATGTGATTAATAATGCTTTCTTTTTATATAAAAAAATTTTAAATGTGCAAATTATTTATGAAAGGAAAGTACGAATAGAAAATCAACGAATTACAAATAAATAATGCTTAAATAATACCAAATCAAATAAAATTAAAATTAATATTAAATTTCAAATTAAATTTTAGAATTAAAAGTATAACACTATTTAAAATTAATTTTAAAATGTTATTAATAATTAAAATCAAAATTAAATTAAAATTCAAATTTAAATTCATGTCATAAAGTCAGTTAGTTTCGCTTTTTTACCGTACTGGAACTATAACGGTTTTTAGGAATTTAGATTTTTCAAATAACAGGCAATTGTTTGATTACATTTGACAACTTACTTATTAAAAATAGTACTACTGTGCCAAAAAAAATAAAAAATGCGTTAGATTTTGGAATAAATAAAATTAAAATATATTTATATCTACATGCATGTATTTATGTTTGTGTTTGCCAAATATTTTTTTAATAATCTTTATTAATTAAAATATACAATACATCAACTAAGAGGACCATTAATGTCATAATAAATTTTTAAAGAGACAAACTTCTTCAATGTATAAATGAATGAGCTAAGTACATATTTAAATACATTTTCTGTTGACATAAATCTTTGTTATCACATATATATAATTCTGACTTGTCTATTTGTTAATTGGAAAAATGTATTCCGCGCACGTATTAAAATATTGTTTGACTTTTCGAACTCTGATTTGAATTAAAAGTAATTGTATTTAATAAATCAAAGAGTCAATATTTAATTTAATTTATGTTAGCAGGCCCTCCTCTCTATATTACTGCTATCAAATTTCATCGTTGCGCTCGAAATATGTGGTGTTCTCAACCACTTGTATCTGATGAACAACACTTCAACGTTAGATACCTGATGAGTGCTAAATATTATATGTCGAGAATTCGAGAGAATTGCACTCTTACAATTGTTGTCTTAGCCGACAGCAGTGGCAATTACTGAATCACTTTAGTTGCATACTTGCCCATAGAGCCAACGGCTCGTTATTGCGGCTGTAAGTCTTAGTATATCTTCCCAAAACCCCTTTAATATGTCCAAATCTGTTTCGTTATCTTACAGCAAAACAAGCTATGCAAGCTCCTCTTCGGATTAGTCAATGCACGCTTCGTATTTGACAAACTTCTGAGAATAAACTGGTCGACGTGTTACGAAAGAAAAGTGTGAACTAGCGAGGACAACGGAAGTCGAAAGGAGAGATCTACACCTACAAGTAGTGTATATATTTTTAGGCGCAACAGCTCTGCAGCATAATGAGAAGATTATTCAAAATGGAGTGAGAAGCAATGTGTACTTAGCTCAGTAGATTACGGCGTGACACCACCCATTTTTGGATGATACGAACACGAATTTGATATGGTCGCAATTGGGCAATTGGACTATATAAAGGAGTTTTACTTCCCTTGTTTGACTCGACGGGTAGGTATGCTAATTTTAATGAGAGTGAAATCTTCCCAAAATTGGATGAAGTAAGTCCAGATATAAACCTCCTATTACAGATCTTTAACTTTTGACCAATCTATGGACGTAAAATAAATATAAGCCAAATATGTAATGTTATTTATATTTTGTAAATATTATATTTTTATATTTTATTTTATATCTTTATTCTTATCATTTATTTAATTTAATTTTATTTTATTTTATTTTATTTTATTTTATTTTATTTTATTTTATTTTATTTTATTTTATTTTATTTTATTTTATTTTANTACTATCTACTATATTAAACTAAGTGAGTTGGTTGAGGTGTTATAAGAAACAAAGAAGGGTAAGGTTATTGTAGTATGTTAGGATCCAGAAGTGAATGTGCTGGGTAGTAATTATTATTATGTTATTTGTTAAGTTGTTAGAAATTTTTGGTTTTTTTTTCTCTTCGGAATGCATTCCATTTTTTTTTTTTTTTTTTTTTTTTTTTTTTTTTATTTTATTACATTTTATTATATTTTATTTTGTTTCATTTTATATTATTTTAGTGTATTGTATTTTATTTTTATATAATTTTTTTTATTATATTTTACTTTATTTTATATTATGTTTAGTTAATATTTTTATTTTATTTTATTATAATTTTTTTGTATTTTATTTAATCAACTTCTATTATATTTTTTATCTTAGTTTTAATTTTTTGTAACTATTGCTTACTTATTCATTTTATTTTACAACAGATAAAAACTGATAAAAGATACTTTCTGCTTTTAGTGTTCAGATTGGAAAAAAATATAAATTTTACTGCAACATATTTCTTTGAAAAGATTTACATATTTATTTGTTGCTGAAGCTTGAATAAAATATATTTTTTTATATAAGAAACATTTTGTCCAATCCAATATTTGCCATTTATCATATTTTCATTTGAAAAAAGCCGATAAGTTTGAAAAGTGCACTTTGTATTGAATTCCCAATTTCAAAGGATTTTGTTTTATCTTAGTACAAAAAAGTTAATTTGAGATAAAGTTGCCACAATTTTTATTTAAAATTTTTGACGCACAAAACTGTCTAAAATCTGTTGATTAAATATTTTGCTCAGAACGAATTTTTTATTTTTAAATGAAACTTTAATCTGCAAAAACCATGAACTTTTCCACTATATTTTGAATCTTCTTTTGATATTTTTCGGTTTTCAGGTTTGAGAATTTTATTTTTCCAAACATTTAAAAAAAATATCTTAGAAATCTCTTTTACCTTTTTAATTACAAGTTTTCTATGAGATTTCGTAGTATATTTTTATAGTATGCAAAAATTTTTGTTTTTATTATTTATAGAATAATCACTTGAAAACTCAATAAATTTAAGAAAATATTAGCAAAATTTATACAATGTGTGGTTTCTTCTTTCACGTATTGAGGGGTAAAGCTCAGTATATATATTTGTAATATTTTGCAATTAACTTAATTCTTCAAAGTTCATTTTTTTCAGTTTTCGTATAACAAAAAAATATTTATATTTTTTTTAGTAAATTTCCGATTACTTTGAAATATTTAACGTTTTTCACTAGAGGTGTTTTCGAAAACTTGACAGCTATTTTCTTAAATTTATTTGAATGCATCTATATACATATATATATTTTTAGGCATTATTTAAAAAAAAAACACTTGCCTCCGTTTAATTTTAGCTTAAGTCTCTTTGCGCTTCAACTCGTATATGTGGATTGAAATTTTATTAAAAACAAAATAAAAAAGTTCTCAAAGCTGTTAGTGCACTTCACACAACCGTTAATGTTGACTGAATGCGATCAACTAATTTTTACGCGCCACTTTAAAATCTAAGTAGGTATGGGATTGAGTGAACTAAAATACCGAATTCGAACACAATCAAAATTGGAAATTAGTGCAGTGCGAGACAAGACGAGTCTTGTGCTTTAGTATTGGATTACTCATTAACCAGTTTTTGGTTTTTGTATTTTCGGTCAAGTTTTCATTTTATAAGACTGTCGTAAAATATATCAGCATACATACATAATAAATATAGAAATTCGTTTGTAGTTAATCACTGGTTCTTTCGGAATTTCCAAAGTATTTTAACTTGCGTGCCTTTATTAGATTCTTATCAAATTTCTACACTCTACACATTTCTTATTGTTGCGAACTCTTCTCTGTACCGTTTCATTGATGAATGATCTGTTACTGTTACCGGTTATCATTAGACCCGACGCTTTTATTTCACATCCAGCCTTGGCCAAGCTGCCGACGGACTGAGTTCTTTCTACTCTTCACTCGTGAATTACAGTGAAGTGCAGTGAGATCGAGCTCGCACTCGAGCTTGGAGTCGTTGTAGACGTATAAGCATATTGCTTGGTGGGAAAATTTGTGCTTACAATCGTTGTATGTGTGTGTGTATATGTGTGTGTGTGTGTGTGTGTGTGAGCGCCGTTTTTTGTATGTGAGTGCGTGTGGGTGTAATCGAAGCTACTGTTGTTGTTTTATATCATCTGAATTCTGTGTTCAGTAAAGAATTTCCTCTCCACGTATCGATGTTTCAGATTGTCAGAAACGTGTGCCTCCGTCTCGTTGCGCACATGAAGAGCGCATGCGCACACCCGTTGGATTCATTATTATTTAATAATGTTTAGTCTTCCATTTCGCGGTAATTCTGTCGTTGTATTTCTAATTCAATTGAAACATTTTGAAATTCGCAGTATAATAATTTTTTCTTAACTTGTGGCGACAAGAATTGAGATTATTTGGCCAACAAGTCTTTTCTATTAATATGATCAGTATGCAGCTATGCAGAAAACCATTCAAAGAATTTAATATTTTATTAGCACAAATATTCAAGTCGCTGGTTCATAATCTTTAATCAATTCTTATCAAGATTGTAAAAACACAAAGGTCAATCTGAGTAAATATAAATTCAATAAATAGAATACATTTGCATGAAATAAATAATATATAATAATTAACGAAAATAACATAATATTTTTCGTAAGAAATAAAACCAAATATCAAACAAAAAAAAGTTAAAATAAAATAATTTTAAATGAAATAAATTAAATTAAAATAAATAAAAATGAAATAAGGTACAAAAAAAAATTAATAAAACAAAATAAAACAAAAGAAATTTAAGGAAACTAAAATAGAATAAAAAATAAGATAAAAAAATTAAATTAAATAAAGTAATGTAAGTTTTAAAAAAAGTAAAATAAGAAATATAATAATATAAACTAAAATTAAATTCAACTTAATAAAATAAAATAAAATAATAAAGAATAAAAAAACAAAACAAAAAATTACATAAAAATAAGTAAAGAAAAATAATAAAATAAAATATAATAAAACGAAACAAAAAAATAAATTAAATTTAATAGAAAAAAAACAAAATTAATTAAAATAAAATAAAATCTGATGAGATAAAATTGCTTAAATTAAAGTAAAATAACGTTAAATATGTAAAATAAAAAGTCAAAGCAAGCTATATAAAATAAAAGAAAACAGAAAATAATAGTTTTATAATGTAAATTGTAAAAAAAAAATAAAATAAGATAAAATAAATAAACAAAATAGAATAAAATAAAAGAAAGTAACGAAAATACGTAAAACCAAAAAATTTAATAAACAAAATGAAATATAAGAAAATAAATAGAATATAATGTAATCAGAAAATTGTAGTATATAAAAAAAATTAAATTAAAAAGTAAAAAAAAAATAAAATAAAATTTAATTAAAATAAATTAAATTAAATAATCAAATATAATAAAATCAAATAGCATGAAATACATTAAAATAGAAGAAAACCAAATAGAATGAAATAAATTATAATAATATTAAATAAATGTAATAAAATAAACTTTAATGAACAAATAAATACATAAAATAAATAAATTAAATTAAAATTAAATGATTTTAATTAAAACAAACAAAATAAAATAAAATGATGAGCTTAGTTAGCCACGATTCAATAAAATTCGACACTTAGACCAAAAGACTCCCCTTTCTTATATATATATATACATCTGCTTACCCTCTTTATTTAACAAAACAAACTTAAACTACGAATAACTAACATTTTTTTTTTTTTTGTTGAACAGACCAATTTAACGATATACATTTATGTAGGCAAAAAATGACAAATATTTAATTTATGCAAACAAAACAAACAACTAATTCAAAATGCAACAAAAAATGTATAATATACGTGAATAATTGTTTACGCTGACTATAATAACCTTATTAAAATAATATCGCTAACGGTAATACCACTTTTTAGTTAGAACATTTAAATCGGATTAGCTGAATTTTTCATTTAACATTAAGTACAAATAAAGAAAAACAAAAAAAAAAACAAATATAATTTTTTTTTTAGATCAAAAGCGGGGATTTTTCAAAGCAACTGATTACAGCCGTCATTATGTAACCAACGGTCCACCAATTGTGGACAGTGAACTTTATTGTATGTAAAATTATTTATATGGTATGTAATACGTAATAAGTATTGTTACTGCTTTTCTTCTAAAAAAAAAAAATATGTTTGATGTATTTATATAAACAATAACCTAACGTTCTTGCGTTAATAAAAAAAGTTCCTTTACATTTTGTGTTGACTGCTGACTGCCATTAAGTACTTGGTAAACTTCCTAACGACATTAAACTTGTGGTTAAACTGTCGGGGGTTAACAAACGAATAACCGATGGTAAAAAAACTTAACTCAAAATTTCTGTTTCGTTTACCATTCCCGGAAACTTATTTTAGAATATTTTTGGAAAATATTGCCTTTTAATAAATCAGTCTGGCTCCGATAAGTTTTAATTTTTTTTTAATATAAATTATTTTATCATTGCCTACGTCATTAATCTTAGAAAAAAGTCACGCAAATGCCACATGTGTGGAATTCTAAAATAACGATTGAAAGTGGCTAACAGCACTTCAAATCTTCAAATACGTGCAGAACAGAACAATTGAAGACAGTCTTATCTCTAACTAAATAATATCAAAATACGTAATACATATAATAATATTTTATTTAAAATTAATAAGAAAAAAATTGTAAAATTAATTAATTAGAAATTTAATTGCATCAAATAAAAAAAAAAAAAACAGTTGTCTGCTCTATTTGACTTACGAGAGGTCTACGAAGTGCTTTAAGCATTTATTTTTTTTTCTTTTTGTTTGAATGATTGCAACCCATGTGACTCATTGTTGCTATAGTAGATAAATATATAATAATATAATTTAGTATAATACATACACACAACATAGGTACAAACAAATAATTACGCATCATACTACTGATATGAAGGAATAAACCCAAATTGTTGTTGAATTAACGGTATAAACAAGAAGATTCCACCATTGAAACGGATGCCGACAACAAAACTGCTACTGTATTAATATTGAATTGAAAGCATAAATATTGGAGAATGCTTTTTTAATGGCGCTGTTAACAGAGGAGGTAAGCAACCCAAAGAAAAACAAATTTATTAAAAAATTTAAGTGTAATTTTTCTTCTTAATTAAACGCAAAAAATTGAGAAGAGATCAGTGTGTCAACTTAGACCTGGTAGATCCACAATATGTAGTCATGTATGTCATTTCTTCACTTCTTTGTCGATTTTAAAGCGGCCATTAACACGCCCCTATTTCTATATTTGGTATTCCCATGAAACTTATGTACAACGTTGGCCATATTAGATGAACTAATTTTTTTTTTTAATTTTTTACTATTTTTTTAGTGTTAAGAAAATTTTATTGCATCACTTTTTGAAGTTAATATCGCTGAAGTGATTACCCAAAGCATTAATGGCGCAAAGTGCCCGCTTTGCAGCAGTTTTCAAGGAGTTTTCAGTGTTACGACTGATATGGCAGCTATTACCTCTAGGGCTGCTAATATAAACCGACTTTGACTTCAAGTAGCTTGAGAGAAAAAAGTCCAACGGTGTCAAACCTGCCAGTCAATTGCTGTTTTTTTTTATATCAAGCCTCCAGGTATTAAAATTTACCATTCAGTAAATTTTGTTACAATTTTGTATTCTGAGCTGACTGTTACCCTGTAAATTTTGTTACCAGCGAAAAAGGAGGTATAAAATATGTTTGATTTTGTGTTGTAAGTTTGGGGGAAAAAAAAAACCAAAATGGGTTGGCATATTTTAGGCCTGGAATTCATTGAAGATGAAGAAAAAAGTGCAAAAAACTGTATTTTAAGAAGTTTTCGAGCCTAAAAAATAGCCCTTTAATTTTCCGAACGGCTGATGGTTTTTTAAGAGGAGTTCTACTATTTCATGTCAGAAATACACTCAGAGGGCTTGACATTCTTTGCGGTGGGGCGACCTGAATTCTAACAATTCATTTTCGATATTGGTCGAACCGAGACTCGAACCCTGGACTTCGGAATAGCAGTATACGCTACTAACTACTTGGCTATTGACCCAATACAGTATAAAAAAAAACTCTGCTTATGAAATTTGGTTGAAATATCCAAAATTATTGGAGTAGTTTGCGTCCAAACAGACAACAAGGCAGGCAGACGGACGGTCGTTATAAATATTGCTGGATGTTCTTCTCTAACATCAATACAATAGAAGAAGTTCATTGGTAAGCTTTACTAGAAAATAAAATAAATTCGTATTCATTTTTATCAAATTTTTGCAAGGAAAAATGTTCTTCTTTATTAAAGAAATTAGCAAAATTTAAGTTACCATAAAAAAGCTTTCACATGTCATGGACAGTTGGAAAATATTTAATCTTAGCATTTTCTATTGAATAAGAAGATTTGTAAGAAATCTCAATTTCCGATTGTAGGGTGCCAGTACCAGAAAGAGTAATTATAAAATAAGCAATGCGTGTGTTTTAGGCGATTTTACCCCATTGTGCCCAAAATTACAAGCAAACGCTGCAATGAAGGCTCTACCCTATCCCGGCGTAGACTCTGTATTTCGTTTCTTTTCGCTAGCCTTTTCGACGAATGCAAAATGTGGGTGGTCAGCGGCTCAGGTCTTTTAAAGAAATCGAAAA